TCTATGATAATGCAGCACTATATCTTCAGAATTCTTAAGGGGAAGACAATTTTGCAGAGCGGTGTCATGTGAGCTCATACCAAACATGTGCATTAATAGGTTGCACGGACCTGCCCCTGCTGCTAAAATTAATTGCTAATGTACTCGTATGCAATGGATTAATTGCATGCTGTAATACCTCATTAGGTTCAAAATGTTGGCAAGATCATAATGAAGTAGAAAGTTGCCTTTGAACACTCCTGCAGCATGGGTGCTAGTGTTTCTTTCAGTTCACCGATATCATCACCTTGTCATGCTCAAACGCAAACCTAAAGACAGAGATGAAGAAGGGGTAGGTATCAATACATCACATTTTATTGGGAGTTATTATATTTAAAGATTACCAAAACAAGGATTTAAATTTGTTCTACAATATGTGTTGAATATTTAGGAAATATGTATATCCAAAATTACTGTAATACTTCCCTAATTTTATCATGCCTTGCTAGCCCATAAACCCGTGCAAGGTCTTTGCTCCGGTACACAAGGCGCCAACCGAGCCGTCTGTAAGAAATACGCCAGCAGATGAAGAAAAAAAAAACGCCAGCGGGAGCGAAAAAGGCAGACTTGCCGTCGCGTCTTCCTTTTTAGAACATTCGTGAGAGTGCTGTTCTTTTTTTGGTTGCTGTGCTTTTTGCAGACAGTGGTGTACTCTCCTTGTAACATTGCTCTATGGTCTAGAAATAAGGAAAAATTCCCCGTTGGCGACGACTGCTGCACAACACGAAAGTGCTCACGCCTACGTTCACGATGCGCATTCAGCAGCGAAATCTCACTAGCAGCCATTCGCTTTCCGCGGATTGTACCATACGTGCCGCATCATCGCTCTTACGAATGTATCAGCGGCGATGCTGCTTTTGACCATAAGCAGAAGATAGCCTGTAATATAACGACAAGCGTACGACGTTTCTATGACGACATGAATGCCAAGGTAACTGCAAAGTAGTCTCCCAATAAACCTTTTTTGCACTTCCCAAGAAACCTTTTCGCACTTTTGCACTTTAAGACCCAAAACCCTGAGGGTTTTCGGTCTTAAAAAGGCATGACCGTGAACTGCATCAAAAGGCACTCAAGATGACTATTTCAGTTAAAAACCTCATGTAAAGATAGAACATTCCCATTAACCCTCACCATGATAGGAGAGGGGGGTAGATGCACCCCTCCCGGTTTTTTTGACGATACCTCCCGGGCATGTTAGGCAATCGTGCCCAAATTTGTAGTAGCATGTGACCCATCTATTGCACGTGTTTAAAGGGAGTGTCCCACGTGTGTATGGGGTTTAAAGCTGAAATAGCCATCTTGAGGACCTTCCGGTGCTGTTCACAGTCCTACTCGTCTTAAGGTCTAAGTCCCTCCAGTTTCCGAGCTGCACGCCGCAAACATGTGCAGGCTATTTCTGGAAAATTATTTCAAAGTTGCCCAGGCATCCATGACGCCATAATGTCGTAATTTAAATCCTGTCCTTGCACTGACCGTGTGGCGTTATCAAGGCCAAGGAAACTATTATTGTCGAGTCGTTCATATCTGGCTTTCGTGAACACGACTTCCAGATAAAACGTCCGTCAATTGGATCTCAATCAAAGTTGTACGAGGTACAGTGCTATGATTAAGCAATGACGTATTAATGGAGATTTTACTGGACAGAGGAATTGTGTCATCGAGAGCCGCCCTGTTCACTTAGAGTGTACCAGTACCTATGAGCCTATTTCATCATATCTAATGCCTGTTCAATTATCTTCAAGTGTGGAACATTCGCTTTAACGCCAGAAACGTGTCCTTGGCTTGTCTGGTTTCGGAGCACCAGCAGTTTTGAGGAGCACTGCACGGCGATTGACGGCCGTCAGCAGGCGGGAACAGACAATGCCGTGGCTGGCGTGGTGGTCGACATTGTTGCATTAACGGAGCCAAATGTCATAAATGTACCCTCAAAGCACTTTCAAATAAATGCCGTGGTTCCCAGAGTTGGACAAGGAGCACACTTGTTCAAGTTTTGTTTCGCCCCAAGGCATGGTCCTGTAGGCATGACGTTGTAAAGCTGAAAAAGTGCGATTGTTTGGCAATTCGACCTTTGCCCTGCCACAGCGGAGTCAGTTATTGAATTCACAACATAAAAACCAGTACCAATCGCGAGATCTTGCTGAGATCGATCTTCTCGCCTTTTCCGCTAAGCTCTGTCTGCGTTAATTTGAAAACGCCAAGCGGTTCGCATGACTCCCCCTCTCAGTCCGCGTCGTGCGGCGAATCAGGACGGCCTCCCCGTAAACACGCGCCGGGTGACTGGCTGGATACTCTTCGCTCGGGTGGGGGCAATTTGATCCCCCCCGCCCTGAGATCTTGGGACCTAAGAAAGCTAGAAGCTCCAAATTTTCAGTGTGTCTTGACCTGTACGTGAACTCACTTAGGTCAAAGTTTGAGCTTCATAGGTCATGACCTTCAGGTCAAATAAGGATCAAGGAAGGTCAAGTTCCAGGTTGGTCTCCAAAGAGCCCCCAGAGCCTAGGCAATTGTCTCGAAGCAAAAGGACATAGCCCATTTGAGGTCAGTGACCTTGATTGACCTGTTGAAGGTCATAGTAACGAAAATCACACAAGACTGCTCTGAGTTTTTCATTTGAATAAGCGACAAAGGTCACGCTGGGCAGCATGTTTTTAAAACAAAATGTCGACCCAGGTCATGTTAGGTCAATGACCTGTTCTGACCTATAAGAAGGCAATGGAACAATGGAAGATGTATAATGGGGTTCCTGCTGTCAATAAATGCGAAATGAGCACCACAAACTATCTCATATAGCAAGCTCTAAAGTAATAAATCAGGTTGCTTTCAACCTTGGTCTGACCTTCATGCCTGATCTTAGGTCAACGTAATTCGCTCATTCAATATTTGTGGTGCCTGAAAAAGCATCTCAGATATGTATAGCTTCGTCAAACACTCCGTTGTTGTATCAAATTGAACGATTCCCTAGAAATTGCCTTCGCTGAAGCCATGGCCTGATACTGACCTGCCATAGGTCAGCGGCCTTGCAAGGTACATCTCAATTTGTTGTGTCAAATGATCTGCTATTTAACTGTCCACAGCTATGTAAAATTTGGCGCGACTACGCCTGGCCGTTCGGAAACCATTCGGGAAAAACCTCCGGGGGTCAATTTGATCCCCCACCCGAGCGCGTGTTAAACCCCAACTTCTCCACTATCAGGGCGAGAGGTGATCCTAAATTTGAGTAGTAGGTAGCATTAGCTCATTGAACCCTACGGGAACATAACACGCGGAAGTGATCCAATTTAATGTTATTCGATTGCACAGTTATTTACAAATTTTGTAGCTCAAAACATTGTTGATCGCGCCATCCACGGGCGATCAAGACCTTCCCATCTGCCCGATATACAAGGTCAGCAACAGTGGGTCGACCGTTGGCGGTCGTTGCCATGTAAACAGAGACGACCTGTTTGTAAACAAAAGCACTTGATTCGCCTCTCGTCCGAGCTAGGAATGGGCTTGGGCCCTGACGTCATAGTTCAATCAGGCACGTCGAACGGGCTTACTCCCAAGTGGGGAGTGGTCTTTCATGGGCCAATAAAGAGCGGGGCTTGGTGTAGGAGGCTGTAATGTTATGGTGGACCTGAGGTCCTGTATATGGGGCCGTTCAGTCATAGCCGGCCCATGGTCCGGCGAAATGTCTTGTCGAGGCATAGAGGGCCTCCGGTCCGCTGTGAGGTGTTGTTGAATCATAGCAGCTAGTCCGGGTCCGTTGTAAAATGGTGTCTAGTCATAGCCGGTCTCCAGTACGATGTAAAGAGGCGTCATGTCGGAACAGTCCTCTGGTTCTGTACAGGATTGGCTACAAACGCACATTACACACTATATTACATAATGTAAAGCACGGTAAGAGAAACAACATTTTCAGTGTCCCCATTCTCTTTCGCTGGTGTGTATGGTGTGTTCCGAATGCAATTTTGCAGCTGAAAAGACCTGAAAGAAAGGGAGGGAAAGGACGGCCCTTAAACGATGGCTTTTCCTCGGCGCGACCCGTGCCAATTTGACCACTTCTCGTGTCTAAATGAGCGCATTGTGTTTTGCCGTCGTTATTCACGATTTGTCTGCAATAAGTGCAGTTGAAGTCCATTTTTGGTGGTATTCAAACATGGTCGGTTTCCATTAAACAATCATTTCATTCTTGTCACAAGTTAGCCTTCTTCCACAAAGTTGCAAGATAAGATGAGAAAAAGAAGGGTTGAAGGATTAGCATATACACGTAATATGCGCGTGCGCGTGCGCGTGCATTACATACACACACACGCACGCGCACGCAGACGCGTACGTATATTCTTCGACTGTTCAATGTGTTGCTTCGCCGCGGGTGGGCTTCGCCATAGGCGGATGTAGAAGATGCACAGGAGGAGTAAAAACACGATGAATCGTTATCGGTTTTGGACCCGAAATCACGACGCGCGTTCGCTCACGTGATAGCTGCTAGTCTATTACGGCCATGTCCCTGGTACGAAACGCACAATGTTTTCAGAAGCAGGTGTTAGAAGTAATAGGCTCAGAATCAGGGAATATCATTCATTACATGCGTTGGGCAAGCTCAGACTTCATTTCTGTAGTTTGGCGCGGCTTTATTGATAATGCAGGGGCTTTAAGATCCTAGCAGTGTTTAAATATGGCGGTGGCGGATGCTTGAGGCCGCGTGGGTTGTGCCAGACACGTAAACTTTGGAAGGGTAGCTGTTACGATTTGTAGCTATACACCTCAACGTTGTGCCAAATGTGTGCTTCTCCCACCAGTTGCGCTTTACTCTTGTCTGTCACTGGGTGGTTTTCCACAAATTGTCCGTCGGACAGTTTCTACTGGATGTGTTCTGTGGTGAGGGGAGCAGTGACCTGCACCCACTTCAAGAGTGTTACCGGCTGCTGATGGTGTGTTGTGCTCAGCAGCTGACGGATGCTGTATTGTCACTGTTTCAGGCTGAAGGTGTACGTGAATCTGTTCATCATCATGGAAGTCAGCTGGATAGCTGAATGCTTGTCCACACAGATAGAACCGAAACAGCTCTGGTAAGATTTTCACCGGTACATAAACGCACATGTTTTTGCGGTCTTCCACTCAATATCGTTTGCCCGCTCACTGGCACCCATTGCTCTCTAAACTGGGCGTGTAATGGATTCCGTTAGAATCAAAATCAACTTCTCAATTGAACAGTTTTGTCATCGATTGAAGCGAAATACTTTGGAGCATCTGCGCAATTTAGAGGCGAAATGCAGGAAAGCATTTGCCATGAAATAAACATTCGGACTATTTCAGATATATAGATGATAACTGTTGTTAAGTGCATTTGCGGGGAACATTACGCATACGGATAAAACATTACTGTTGGTTATGTCTGGCATTCCTCATAGAATAACCAGGAGAATGAAGAGATGGATGTATGATGTGTCTATCTCTCCATTCTCCTAGTTATTTTGCGAGAAATAACACTGACTTTGCTGTCTTATTGAGATAACAACAAGATGAATGATGACAGCTAATCAATGTGCAATACAAATTTTGTTTACTTGTAGCCTGAATGATCATATTTCGTTGGATACAACCTGTAGATCATACAGAAGACGTATTCTAGGCCGTTTTCGCCGGATGAGACTCTTGTGGAATTGGCTCTGGAAACGGGGCACATTTTCTTCAGGTGAAATTCCAGCACCCTCACAGTTGTTGATTGTAGTCAACTCATAATTCTGTGGTACTATTCTGATGATATGAAATACGAATTTACTCGATACATGCATCCGGTATTTGAGTAACTCCAACGCACAGCGCACGGAGTTGGCAAGCAATGTCATTCCCCGTGAATCGTTTGAATCATTGGATGAAGCACAATCAGGTGACTCTGTTCTTCGCCCCACATTAATATCTATTTAGTTCCCTTTTCAGTTACTTCAAATTATCTTAATATATATATATATATATATATATATATATATATATATATTCGCTTTAAATTATCTTTTCCTCGTCTTTTTCCTCTTATTCCGTTTTCTCCATACTCACGCGATCAGATTACTGTGACCTGGTCATGGCATGCTCGCTGCCATCATTTCTGCCAAATGCGTGCCGCAACTTGCTTCGATTTCTGCAATCAAATGAATCTAGATGTCTACAAGTGCATTGAGATGGATGCAGCGTCGCACTCGCACAGCCGATTCACTGCGCCTTTGTAGATGTGCAATCAGCGAGATATGCAAGACTTCACGAACGCACGACTAACGGAATCGAAGTAGATCTCGGAATGTGTCAGCTGCCAGCTTGCCATGTAACTTTAATCACGCTCAGTTATGCTATATAATGCACGAGGCGAGAGCCAATCTTGCTGTGGATCCTCCGTAGACAGATGAATGGGGTTTTATTATGGAAAGCACAACTTGCGAAACTACATATATGCGATCAGATCACCCGTAACGTTTGGGTTATCCTTGCTGTTTGAGTGCGTTTTGCTGTATGACCTCCCTTGTCCTCGCCTGGTTATGCACCGCACTGTGATGATATGGCTTGCGCTGCCCGTATTATTTAGTACTGAGTGAAACATAGCACGTGACATTATGAGTTCAAAGTTCTCATCTTGGGTAACGAACCTACAAATTGTTAAGTTGTATCAGGTCATGCCGTGGCAGGCGACTATGAAATGTCATTTTCGCCTTCCAGGTACTTCACGGACATCATCAACGCCTCCCAGGGAACGCTGATCTTCCTCCTGTTCATCGTGCGCTCCTCCACACGCCGGGCGATCAAAAACCGATTTTTGGAGCTCACCAAATACGGCTTTAACCCATCTGCTCGCAAGGTGCGCCCAGCGGGGAGAGACGACCAGGTACAGTGTTGTTTATGAACATACATACACAAAAGACATCATACATGGTATATTTTCCTAGCCAAACCTTGTCTATTTCATCCGTACAGCTGGTGAACGAAACCAAATTACAGCTGGACAGAATGGACGATCATGATTATACCACCGTGAAGGCGTATGCTCTCGTGGTCGTCATCTCCGACGGCAAGTGAGCCTCTGGCGCTTTCGGCAGGCCGCGGTCTCACCCTTCCCATGTAACGTCTGAACCTTCTCCCCGCCGACAGAACCCGCCCTCCTCCCGTACCAAGACAACTGGGAGTGGCAACTCGGGCGCCAGCAGGAGTGCCCAGTCGGACGGCATACCAATGACCGATGTCCAGCAAGGTGGCGCCGTCAAAACAGGGGAGGCGAACAGTGACAACAGCAAGGCGACGCCATGCAACCCCGACAAGAGCACCCACGACAACCCGTGCTAAGTGCGCTGTCCGTCGCCCGTTCGATGAGCAAACGGCATGTGTGGGCCGACGGGGCGCTGGAGGAGAGACTGTAGACGCACAGAGTCATGACTGGGCACGCAGGGCACGTCCCGTCGATCGCACCACGCCATTGGACTGAAGACCGTGCTCCTGTTAAATCGCTGTTGCACTGGTGTGTTCTGACTCGCTCTGCGCTTGTTTGCGTCGCTTGTGAAGTATGCTGGCACGAACTCTGGCTGGGAGGACAGCACGGGGTAGTGTTGTCTGTGTATCTCATGCGGCGCCGCAGCCGGCTAAATGCTCCCATGATATGGTAGCGAGCCTCTCCGTACTGCTGGCTGGCACTGCCCTTGGCCACAGTTTTCTCGGTGTTTGCCGCGACGTGTCCATCTGCCCAGACACCTGTCGGCGAATGTTTATACTACAAGTATACTGCGCGCGGTTTGGTGGCAGCACGGGCGCGTGTCACGACTGACTTATTTTGTCGTGTTGACTTCGTTGCCATGTTAGTCAACCATTGATTGCTGATAAGATCAGAGATTGTTCCACAGGGTATTGTCTTAAAATGGGACCTTTGCAAAACAAATTTTACGCTTGATCACGTCGAGGAAACACTAAGGTGGTGTTATGCTGTATTTACCGTCGTCATTACCGGTCACCCGTGGCTTTCTTGTCGATATCATGGGATCGTGCGTGCTGTATGGTTACGTAAAATCACATCGCTGTGAAGTCAATGATTCATATTGCGTTCATCGTGAAAGTTTGATGAGATAGTCATATAAAATAGGAAGCTGACGAAGTAGGTGCATTTTTTGTGTGCCTTGTTGGTTTACGATTTTCGGATAGATACCCGGAGCGCCATCGCAATGGTCGAGTAATTTGTTATTGTGATCAGCGGCAGGAATGGATGGCGTTAGCTACGCATTGCTTGTTTATTGTGGTCATGCGAATGGGTACGTCATCTAGGGACGCACTCAGCCAGAAGGTGCCATATAGTATATACATGAGATAAGCATGATGGACAGTGGTACATCAGCAGAGCGCAGTTGATCTATTATGTTACATAAGATCTGAGGGCGTGCATGGCTTGCCTGCCAATTTTTTACTGCGTTGTCATTCGTGTGCCAAGAAAATTTGCATGCCCTGGGAGAAAAGGCATGAGAATTTCATAAGTTCAAAACACCGCTCGGATTTCACTGGTATCACTTGGGAGCTATTGATTTTGTCGCTGTTGACCGTGCCAGTGTTACTCTTTATGACAGCGTGTCGTGTCGTGCTGTCGTATCTGGCTTGACGCCGTCGAATCAGAGTCAAAGCCAACGAACGTGATTCCTGCGCTGTTGCAGTCACTGCCGCGGAATCCGTCACGTAAGGTAAGTTTGAACAGGGTTGAAGAAATGTTTAAATAGGGTTTTAATGTTTGCAAGGCGGCTTAAACTGTGAAAGTGACATGTCTGGACTGACCAAAGGCTGTGTGGACACTAATGTTCATTTTGTACTTTTCACCATTTGTTTGTGATAGCTGTCATGGATGTCGCACATACGACCAGTCTTGGAATACAGTGTGTTTATTTGTTAATAATATCTCTTTCAAATGCCTCCTCCCTCGAAACCATCCAGAACGACGCCCTCAGGATAATTACGAGAGTGTTCGCAACTTCACACATACCAACTCTTCTCGCAGAGACGCATATCCCAAGTCTCGCCCAGCGCCGCAAATATCAACTGCTCTGGTGTAGTGTGCGCGTAAGTAAGAGACTAGCACAACCATCCTCCAACAGTCACACTTGCAAACACTACAACAAAAAGACATCTTTCACCATCACAGGAGAGTACCCCACGATAGCTCTGCGAGCCCAACGTGCCCCGGATTTATTTGGCATCCCAGGTATTCGCACTATGCAACCTCCAGCTTACAGAGCGGACTGGCATGAACCGCTGAGTGAAGTCCGCTATCTTTTCGCTTGCAACAACAGCAAAATGACTCGCACTGAAATATGATCTCGTTGTAAGGGCACCGTATACACTTTGCAGATGGCTCCAGGCATAACGACAAAACTGAAGCCACCTTCCATACGCACCAATACTAGCTATCATTTCGCATTTTCGCCATCTATTCCATTTCCACTGCTGAATTGGTAGAGGTTCTCGCTGTACTCAGACATGTGAAGCTCCCCAGTACCAAATAAGCCGTCATCTGCACGGACTGTCTTTTCGCTCTACATACCGTAAATACTCAACACAACACATCACACCCGCTCATGGCCAAAATCTTGAACGCCATTACATCACTCACTCCCCAAAAGTATCTCAAAATGCTTCGGATATCCTGCAAACAGGAATGTTATCCTGCGAACAAACATTCCTGGCAATGAGACCGCTGATCGGCTTGCCAACAACAGCCTGCAATTAATCCCAAGAAGTTCACTTCCCGCCTCTATACAAGATGTATTTGCCATGGAACATCTCATCGAAATCAATGTTGAAAAGGAATCATGCTTCCAAAGGAAGAGCATGCCACCTACAGCACGCCATCGGTACGCCATCGGTACCCTGTATGACTTAACACTTCTTCTTGATTGCCCATTTTATCGTCAATCTTGTCAGTCTCTCATCAACTACACATTAAAACGCCGCATTGCCTCTCCTCTCAAAACGCTTTTTGGTGACTCGCACCCCGATCTGATCTCGCTCCTCCGAACTTCCCCGCAATACAGGATTGTCTGATTTTGTTCAAACGGAGGAACTTTATCAAACTACACCATTCGGCAAAAACATGTGAATACTTGTCCTTTTGGGGATGATCTTGTTTTTTTGTTTTGTTATTTAGCATTTTGCCAGGATATTATGAAACTCATGAACAAGGTCGCGTTGGGTTTACAATAAAGGCCGGAGCTTTATCCTCTACGCCTCAATACAAATGCAGTTCTACACTAAAAACCAATACAAAGACTTATTATTAAAAACGCGTTGAATTTGAAACAAAATGTGGAAACTTTGTCTCCGACTTTAATCTGAATACAACTTCATCAGTCTTTCTGGTCACGACTGATCAGCTGCGCCAAGATCCCTCTTGCGGCGGTGCTAAGAGATCCCCTCATTGCGGCGATGAACACTGAGCGACCGCCCATTCCATTTACTATGTTCATCACTGCGTGTTTACCTGTATGTCATGTAAATACACGGTTATGTGAATGCATCTTTTCATTCTGTTTATTTCCCTTGCCTTACGCTCTTGCCCAACCAAAAACAAGAACAAATAGATCACAAAAAATATATTTTTGAGAAAATAAAACCATTCGTGGTTTAATGCGGCGTTTCTAACATCCCGAACTTGAACACACTGAGGTGGGACAACAGACTAGTGTGCACTCATTTTTATGGCCCAGCGCCAAGTATATACACAAACAGAAAGCTACGCAAAAATGAAACCCGAGCAAATGATGTCTCAAACGTATATTTATTAACAGCACCCAGCTACGCCCCTGTCATATTCACTTTTTAGCATTGATAGTGATGTGAGTGGATGTTCAATGTGATGATTTCCTCCCGCGAAAATAAACAAAACACATTTCAAGCACATAATACCGCTTTTGCTTTCCCCACACTTTGGGCAAAGTCTGGCGGGGAATTCGCTACAGTCCTATGAAAACAAATTCCAGGTTATTTAATGATTAGTCCTCGCTCAGAAGACATTCGAGCAAGAGCCGGGGATCAAATGAAATCTGAAGCCGTCGTGTCACGGAAATGCTCCTTTGCTTTGCATTCATGCGCGTACAATTAATCGTTCCTTCAGCTCAGAATGGAAATAACATGTGTCGCCACACTGGTTAATTTGCAAACAACTCTCTAATGACATTGAGCAAAAGGTTAGGGAAGCGACAACGTGAAGCGAGTAGCCCTGACGAAACTCCGAGCAATGGCAAGCTCCGGCAGAAAGCACTCACCCAGAATCGAGTCCACCAAGGATACGTTTTTTGACGGCATTCGGACACCAGCCGCGCCCGAGGAAGGCAGCGAGAGCGGAGCGTTTGTTTATTATGAGGGGTGACGTTGTCCATTTCGCGGACAGCGGTCCAACAAATGTTTGCCTTGCATGTGCACCAGGGCCAATTTATAAATAAATCTAACGCAAAGGGAAAATAAACGTCATCCGATGATGCCTGATCGACAACGCTCATAACTTTCGTGCAATGAAAAGGTGCGGATGCATTGTTTAGGGATTTGTTTCCATGCTTCATAGATGAAGTCTAGTTCTATCAAGCTTCTGTTGGTAGGCATCACATTTTAAGAGAAGCTGCCAGCTCTCCCAAATACCATGTTAAATAGGACATTTGTCGACCACGGCTGTCTTACATCTGTGCGTTCAGTGCATTCTGGCCGCTGGAAGAGTTCAATTATGAAAAAGTGGGGTTCGGCTTTCAAGAATATACTCTGCGGTTATTATTCAGCAGCAAAAGTTCAAGCTATATTGTGCCGTGAATACTTTTCTCATACACTTGACAGTTCACTTTCAAGTGCTGGATATCTTCAAAAAATACACGTGGTTCCGATGGGAATGGAAGCCCCCGTGCGCCCACCAAGGAGTCGATAGTTCGCCATATGAGACACGGCGATAGTGGCGTGTTCATGCGTCAAGGGTACCAACAGTTCTGCGTCATCTGCAATTTTGACGAAGAACTTCTTGATGTTTCACATACCCCCTGGATGAGTGTTGCACCTGCTGCTGAGGGGCCGTGCCACACACACACTGGGTGCCCGCTGGTGGCTGTATTTTCTGATCCCGGTAGTCGCAGAGGTCGAGTGTGGCGGCCGCCCGGCCCCAGGACACGCGGCACTGCGACACGGCCGCCGTCCCAGCGGCAACGACCCCGCGGTTGGCGCACCCGGAAGGCGCGGAGTACCGCGGAGCCTCGGCCGGTCGCTGTCCACGACATAACATAACACAGCGGAGCATTGGGGGGCGGGAGAGGGGCCCACGTGAACATTTGAGAGAAGGAGCAAAAGCATGTAAAATGACGCAACCGCCATTCACAACTGAATTCGAGCGCCAACTTGCACCGAACCTCAGCTCTAACCAGCGTGCGCCTGGTCCGCAACCAGTGCCTGGGGCGTTCAGGCTATGGTGCCGAGCCGGGTCGCCGGGATTTCCAGACCTCGCTCAGACACTCAGGCACGCAGTGCGAAACACTGTGTGGTCGGAAGGCGACCCAGTCATAAAGCAGACCGCCGGCGCACTCGAGCAGAAAGGGCCGATTCGGTAAGCTGTCTTCAGAGCCGGACGACCACCGCTGTCTCTCGGGCGGGGCAGCAGCATCGAGAGGAGAAGTAGCGTCTTTTGAACGTGCTGCGTTGGTGGTAGAAGGCGGGGTGGTAATTCAGCTGGTATCATAGTGACTTTCAGAGACGTGGTGTGGCCTCGTGACGAAGATGCGCTTGAAGTTGTCGGCATCGACGCGGCTTTGTACTCTGTCACTCACCTTGTCTCTGCTGGGTCGAGCCTCCGCCCAGAACAGTACCCGGCTTTCCGAGGACACGACCAACGCCAGCTACGCCACCTGCCAAGGCTCGAAAGCTGAGTTCTGCGTGCGGACCTGCTGTGCAAGAGGAGAGAATGTGATAAACGGAGAATGCACACACAGTTTGACAGAGTGGGTGCCGACTTTTCTCAACCAATCGGCCATCGCAAATCTGGAAATTGTCGGAGGGCTTATCCCCGAATGTGCATTTGGTTATCAACCAAGGAAATTTACCCGGTACCTTGGCCAAAGTACCAAGTACCTGTTGAGTTCATCTGGAGAGCTTGAGGTGCAAACTGCTGAAAAAATATTTGCGCTGGGGTTGAACTATTGTTTCTTCAACGTGGAGGTTAATAGTCAGATCTTCGAGAGCGTGCGCAGCTGCGTGAAGATCTCGGTGCCGCAGGTGGCAGGTCTGTCCAGCATCGACGGCGTGCCGAGTGTCTCCGTCCAGAAGTGCTGTCCACCTGACCAAATGATGGGTGTGTCTGAGGACGCCTTCGTCTGCGTGAGCCGGTCCTCGCCCTGGCGGCCTGCGGTGATTCACGGCTATCCGACTCAGCTGGCTCAGTTGCCAGCCGAGAAGACCAACATTTCGGATCCAGGAAGACTTCAGTGTCCGAATGGTGCTGGCAAGCAGTATCTAACATCCAGCACATCACAGGATGCCTTCTTCTTGGATACGAACAGCAATCTCGTGCTGGCAAGCTACAACCTGTCGATCAAGCCAGGCCTGTTCTGTCTGGATGACCTCCGCAGTCCCACACCGACACCCCAGCCTATCGCTGCTGTGTGCCATGTCGCGCCAGAAGAGCACACCGAAGAACAGTTTGAAGCGCTCTGTCCGGGCAGAGTTTGCGTGCAGAAGTGCTGTGCGGCTGGCTTCCACCTCGTCAACACCACATGTGTCCCCACACAACTGCAATGGCAGCCGACGTTCTATGTGGGCGAGGATCCATTCAGTGGCAAGGTAACTCATAAGATTTTGTATGGGATGACCAGCTGCGAAGACGGCGATACCTTCATGTTTAGCAGAGCGCTAAGTGCGCGGGACGCTCCGTAT